TCTGGGAGGAGGGGACTGGACCTGCCTGGACTGAGTCTATCAAGTTGATCTCAGTCTTCGGGGGAGGCCTTGCTCTGGAGGAGGTGGGAATGGGGGGTCAGCTGGGGGGGAAGGGAAGAGGGGCAGGAAGGGGGAGAACAAGGGAATCTGTGGCTGTTATGTAGAACTGAATAGTATTGTAAAATAAAATAAAATAATAAAAAACACTTAAAAATAATCAAACAATCAAACAAACTACTAACAATAAAATGACTCCTAATGATGTTCTGCTATTGTCCTATGTCAGTGACTTGCTCAGCCATCATGAAAGAAGGTTCCTCCTGCAGCGGATGGGAACAAATACAGAGACCCACAGCCAGACATGCAGAGAATAGGAGATCCTAGAACATGGAACCCTAACTGGGGTGTCTCTATGAAATCCCTCCTCTCAGGGCTCAGGGAACCCTGTGGAAGAGGAGGCAGAAAGAATATAAGATCCGAAGGGGATGGAGGACACCAAAGAAAACAAGGCCCTCTGAATCAACATGATCAAAGCTTATATGAACTCACAGAGACTGAAGCAGCATGCACTGGATGAACAGGAGTCTGCACCAGGTAGGATCCTAGACCTGAAAGGAGAAACGGAACATGTCCCCACCCCTAAACCCAAAATAATCTCCAATTAATAACCACTTGCAAAGGAAAATTTAGTTTGCTACAAGGGAGTCTCACTGGGGAAACAAACTTCTCTTATATGTAGGCTGCCTATCAAGCAGTAGATGGCCAACAAAAACTAACTCAAGGGCATCATTGGATGTCCTTTTCTCATAATGTCATGTCAGGACTTTCCTTTTACTTTTTAAATTTTTATCTATCTATCTATCTATCTATCTATCTATCTATCTATCTATCTATCTATCTATCTATCTATCTATCTATTTATATTTCTTCTCTCTTTTTACTCTACAGGTCCTTTGCATATTTGTGGCTCCCAGTTTACTGTTTTATGGGATTCCTGAGTGTGTGGATGAGTGAATCTATGTCTCTTGTGCCTTTTCTTGGGCTCTTTTCCTTCTGACTGTTTTGTTCTATTCTGATCTGTTAGTTTTTGTTTTATCTTATAATCATATTTTATTATTATCCTTAGAAGCCTGTTTGTTTTCTAATTAGAGACAGAAAGTGAGTGGATTTGGATCAGAGAGGATGTGGGGAGGAGTAGATGGAGAGAAAAATCTAATCAGGATATATTATGTGAGAAAAAAAAATCTATTTTCCGTAAAAGGAAAAAAAGATATACATGGCCCAGTTACCACAGGATTTTCATTCTAGAAGCCCCCCATCATGATGTTGTTTTATCTTCAAACAATGTTTTTTCTAAGAAAGGCACTGAACAAAAGAATGTTTTTCACAAAACGAGGCTTTGAAAAAAGCACATATGTTTCTGTTTTGTTGGAAAGAGAAGTGTTATTTTTAGATAAATTTGGGTGTAAGGGTCGATGCTTTCTGGTGAATTCTGGAAGGCAAATTCCTGGCAAAACATTGCAAATTGTTGAAACATATAATATAAGTAAAAAAAAAAAATGTCTGGAAGAAAAGGGAAATTTCAGCCCTAAATAATTTGATTTGATGCGCACATGTGGGAGGGGCATATAAACACCTCTGATGTGTACCCTCCCCACTTTAAAACCCCTTGGAACCGGTGTACCTCCAACTCTGCAAAACTACAGAAAACACTATCAGGAAATAGAGAAGGTAAGTAAGCAGCTCAAAGTTTAAGGTGAAGAAATCTCATGTTATGTGATCTGGCAGCTGCAGGCCCGATCGTGTGGGTCTCCTGTTTTGTGACAGTGACATTTGACTCTCTAAGCCACTTTCCTTTTTGGTGGACATGGTACTTTCTGTTCAATGTAGATATGTGAGCAGGCATCCTTCTCTTCTAATGAGCACTAGATTCTCCCAGTGTGTAAATTAAGCTCTTTTGGAATCCACTACTAGGCCACAAGGGTGTCGTGCAGTGCACTGAAGTAGTAATTTACTAAATGGGACCCTCATGGCCTAAGAGAGTTCATTTAGCTTCCCAAATGCCTACCTTAACCAGGCAATGGTTTATGGCCTGGAGAACCTAATGCGTGTTCAATTATACTATTACATTTAGAAAAGGAGACTCATACATCCCTGGAAATTTTGGATGTGCTCTCTGATTTAGTTTTTTTTAGACTTTTGACTCCCACCATTGGCTTCCACTGGGCAGTCTAAACAACCTTTCCTCTCCCAAGTTAAGGATCCTACTGGGTTTTAGCTGCCATAGTGTTGTAAATTTGACTTCATTTGGAGGAATGATTGTTAGGAAAGGCGATAAACACTTAAAAACATCTGCCACTTGATCTGACTCATTATTTTTCAAATTCATTCTCAGGAATGACTTTTCTACCTGGAAATTAAAGTCTTAACCCCCGAGCATGGCTGTTTTGCAAGGTCCATAGTACAGTGTCCTCCATATAGACGCTCTGCTTTTGTTCAGCTGGGACAGCTATCATTTTTAACTTCTAAAAGACTGTGTGCCGGCTCATTGTATCCAAAAAGTTTAAAAGCATAGTTAAAACTTTTTAAAAAAATTAGTGAAATTAGCTTAAGGATATGTTAAGATATTTCACATGGCTTCTGAGCTTTTGAATTAAACCAGTGTTTTCCTTGCAGTACCTGCAGAGGGCCAGGGTGCTGTCATTTCTATATTCTCTAGGTGGCAGTTTAACTCTACCTTAAAACACCGCCCTTTTGGTATTTTTCTCACTGACATTTCATTTTAAAGCTGGTACCGTAATACACAACAACATGTAAAATGAACACAGCCAAACATGAGCTGCCCGCCTTTAATGTCTTGACAAGGCTTTTCATGTAGCTTTGCCAGGCTGCTGATTTTAATAGAAGGACTCAGATATAACAGCATTGTAAGAAGTGCTCTTATTTGCCATTTCCTCACATGAAGGTCAATGGCTCTTTTTTATGACTGGGCTTCAGTTACAGGGCAGCAGAATTGTTCCGGGTTTTGAACATTATTTGCATGTATGGAGCCAATTGTCATGCTATTTAGTTACATCTGAGATGTGTTTACTTCCTTCTCTCTATTCTAGTTCCCTGAGCAGCTGGTCTGAATGTCATAGCACCCTCATCTGTTCCATGAGAGCCCAAATGCCTTCTTGAGAACTATGAAAATAGCAGCTGAGAACAAGAGGAAGAAAGCTGCTCAGTGTTTTACAGCATTAGCTCGAAGCGGAGAGATTGCACCCATTGGGTAAAAACTTTATCATTACTTTTTTATTGGAATGTATAGTATCTCTCTCTCTCTCTCTCTCTCTCTCTCTCTCTCTCTCTCTCTCTCTCTCTCTCTCTGTCAGTGAGTGTGTGCCACAGTGTAGGACTGGAGATCAGAGGACAACTTGCAGGAATCACCGCTCTTCTTCCACCATGGGGACCCAAGAATCGAACTCAAGTTGTTTGGTATGGCTCCTTTATGCATGGAATCATTTCACTGGCCCTGATAATTTTGTTTATTGGAACTGGTGACAGAGAAGGGTTGCTATCAGCATCAACCATGCCAATAGAGCCCAAGAACATTGTCAACAACCCTCCTGTACAGAGAGGACAGTTTTCCACAACAATGTAACAACACAAAAATGCATATATATGTAGGTTACTGGAGGTTATAAATATCATTATGCCCTTTCCAAAAAAAAATCCTTCATAAAAAAATTGCTTTTGATTAATTTATTATCAGATTTCTCATGAAATGATTACTCTTTCATGTTGCTCCACCTGTTTTTGCTCTCATAAAAAAACAGGCTGCGTCCTTGAATTTTATTTTCTTAATTAAAAACATTGCTCATGTCTTATTTTGCATATCTACAAGCTCAGGAAAGCTCTTTATGAAAACCACTGTTTACCGACTACCCAGAGCTGGTCTGCACAGCTGTCAAGGGCTATCTGCTGCTTTCTTGCCTTTCTATTTTGTGAGTCAGTTTTATTAAAACAGGTTTGAGGTGTCTCAAGTTTATCAGTCCTATTGACTATGGACTATATTCATTAAAATTATTGAAAAATCAAGATTTGATGGTATTGAAATTCCTGAAGGATTTAGTAAAAGAAGTTACTTAACTTATCATTGCCGGGAGGCTGCGAAACAATGACAAACTTGTTTAGTATCCTGAGACTGTGCTGCAGGCATAATTCATCATCATGTTCTGCCCGAGGATCCATTGTGGGACATAATTAAGAGTACTCACTATATATGGATTCGTCAGGTATTCTGACATTTAATAAGCTGATATGGTAAGATTTCTCCGTTACCTTTTGTTCTCCTTTGATCAATTATCTTTCAAATGACATCTTATTTTAAGCCCTTGTTCATAAGATGGATTAAATTTCAGTAACTTTTGTTCTAAGGAAGGAACCTGCAGCAGCCCCAAGGCGCCGTTGCAGGAGCTCAGGTGTCTACTGACGAGAGTGTAAAACCTCTGGAGTAGGCTTGACAGACTTGCCGCAGCCACTGCATTTTAATTCTTAGGTGTCTACGTGTTCATCATGCAGTGCAGGGGATTGAGTCTCCTTTGACCTCAAATCCTTCCTAATTAGACTCTGCCTTCTTTGCTTCTTTCCCTAGCAAATTTTTTTTTTAAAAAAAATTATTTTGTGTATATGTACTTGCTTGCACATGTCTGTGCACCATGTACGTACCTGGTGCCCATGGAGGCTACAAAAGTGATAGATCCTCTCGAAGGAGGCAGGTTTCCATCACTTCCTTTAAAGAACCTCCTCGGTTATCTGTTTCTATTCTTGTCTTGCCTCCACCCATATCTCTATAACGATGATGTGTCCAGTCAAAATGTTAAGAAAGATCTTGAAAGTGAGCAATCCCATTGCAGCAGAACATAGTGGATGAGTATTCAATGTTAAATGAGATCAAACTGATTGCATGTCTTGCCAATTCTCACATGGAGTACTATTGAGTTTAGAACGCAAATCCCATGTCATTCTCTTGGACCTGTCTGTTTCTCCAGTGCCATTTTGGCCCCTTACCTTCTCTCTCATTAATACTTCATGGTATTGACTTGTGGGGTTTGGAGAGGTCATATTTTTTTCCCACCTGTGGAGCTTTTCTCTTACTTTTTTGAATCACTCTTCCAGCTCTTGCTATATATAACTTTGTGTTTTATAGATATTATATTAAAAAAATCATAAAAATAATCACCCAAATTTGCATTTACTTTTCAGAATTTTTAGTCTTATTGACTGTTTACCTTTTTGTCTTCTGTCTCACTAGAATTTAGGCTTCCTGATGACAGAGTTCTTCTTCTGTTTGCCTGAATGCATTGGACACTCAACATATATTTGATAAGAAAATAGATAATAATCAACATATGTAGTAGGGTTCAAGATAAAAAACAAGCATACACACTCTTATATATCCTTCTTAGTTTTGTAAAGAAAGATATTATCCAGCAGGGTGATGTGATAGATGATGTCTAATATTTAAGAATTAATGTGGGAAATTGGTTGGATATGGAACTGACATCTAGGAAACAGAATGTGAATATGGGTAGAAGTTAAAGTAGAAACAAAAGAATTGTACCTACTTGGGAGATGGTGAGCTGTGACTCATAGATGCTGACCAACTAGAGTTGAATGAAAGCCGTTCCAGAACATGGGCCATTTTTTCTTTCATTTTTGAGATTATTACTATATTGCATGATTTTTCTTTTCTCTTTTCTTCCTGCAAACCCTACCATATACCCCTCCATGCTCTATTTCAAATTCATGGCCTCTTATTTTCATTAATTGTTATTGCATGCATATACACATATGCATATGAACACACACACACACATTCCTAAATATGACTTACTCAGTCTGTATGTTACTCCTATGTATGTTTTCAGGGCTGACCATTTGGTATTGGATAACCAATTGGTGTACTTAAAAGATCCAAGAGTTTGCTGTGAGATTATTTCTTCTAGGAGTCTCAGAAGTTACATCCATAAAGTCTCACCAGCATGATTGCCAAAACATGAGCTGAACAAAGACAACACCAATAGACATGGCAGTGTGGACAGGGGAAAGATTGTGAGACCTCAACCCGACAGAAAGAACTACTGGCAACTACGGAACGGTGAGGGTGGGGAAATAGGCCTTGGATTTTTCTGATTTCTGTTGGTTGTTGATCCAAGGGACTTTTCATCATTGAGATGCTGAGATTTAGTGATTTCCAAATTGTATCTGTATCTTCTGGTTCCTGTCTGTTATTGTGTTTCTGTGTATGACATTCCTAGGGTCATACATTATTGGACACACACACACACACACACACACACACACACACACACACACAC